GAAAGCTCCCAGCTATTGTCCCCCTTTTACATGTGTTCCTGGCTCGCAGGTCAGCAGTGTAGAATTTCAAGCCCTTTCGATTGCTGGAGGCCCTTGGTGGTAGGACTAGCTGCCCATCCCAAAATCGCCAAGCATTTTTCTCCTCCATCCTGCTCCTAGACTCCTAAAGCAGGCTCCCTCCTGCACCCTTCCTGTGCATCTAGAAAGCCCTGAACTGGTTGACTGTCCTCTCCTGAGTCCCAAGAAAATCTCTAGGCCCCTTACTAAGTACCTTTCCAGAACAGAGAGCAGACATGGCCATGGCGCACCCATGTCCAACCCAGTGCTTGGTGAAGAGAGGCCTCATTCATGTCCTTCTCCACTCTCCCTCCTTTCCTCCATCTCTCTCTCTCTCTCTCTCTGACAATGGACCAAATATTGTAAAGAAGACACACAGAAATCTCTACATCTCTAAAGAACAATGAAAAGGAAAAATATTAATTCCATAGCTCCCTTTCCCCCCGACTCAGGTGTCTTGCCTCGTGCATCCTATAGCAAACCTCCAAAAGGCCAATGGTGCGAATTAAAAATATTTCACTGACCAACTGATGCACACATCATGAAATTTCCAGGCAAATGTTAGGAGATATATTCAAAAGAATCATTTCAAATATCTCAAATTAGTGCCTCAGTGGCTTTAGGAATAATAAATCCATAATTTCTCAAATTCATGACAGCTTTTAAACTGATGACCCATCTTTGAAAGGACCCGGCCAGGTGTGCTGGCACGTGCCTATAACCCCAGCCCTCGAGAGGCGGGAGCAGGACTATTGGTGCCATTTCAAGGTCAGCCTGGGCTAAGGGTGAGTTCAAGGACAATCGGATCTACATGGCAAGACTCTGTCTCAAAAGTAAATAAAGGTCTCTAATACAACTAAATAAATAGAAAACAGAAACTAGGATAGCTTAAACTCCATTTGCTATGAAAAATATTTAAAAGTGGTTTGTGATTTTTTTACTAGAAATATGAGTATTTTGGGTTTCTGGATGATTTCATCACGAGCAATAACTAACATTTTCTGAGTATCTCTATGTAGACCACTGTCCCCTCTCCTTTCTATTTGGTATCTGTCATAGTAATAAGAACATTTCAGCTCAGCCCTAGCACAAGGAACTTCTAATATTCACCATTATAGAGTTTGTCTCCAACACCTCATAGCTCCTAAAGGCCAGCGCTTAGAACAATTACAGTAATCACTGGATTGGTATCATAACAACTGCTGCATTGTGTATGGCTTCCATGGGAAGCAGTCCAACATCCGCTGCTGTCAGAGTTGAGCAGCCTAACCGGGAAGGGCCTGCTGCGATTATCACTTTGCCAATGGTGCATGCACGAGGCTGGCTTAAACTTCAGTTCCACCAAAACCAGCTGGCTTGGCATGGAACCGCTTGCCTCATTTATTTTCCAGAGCCACTGCCCTCCCTCGAGTCATTTAGGGGCAGAGAGTGAAGAGATTAAAAGGTCTGATAGGGCCGGGGATTTAGCTCAGTGGTTTCGCCGCCTGCTGCGCAAGCGCAAGGACCTGAGTTCGATCCCCAGTACCAAAAAAGAGAAAGAAAAGGGTTTTGGCACCGGACTTCTGGCAGCTCCTCTTGCCCTGCTTTCCTGCAGTCCAGAAGGCACCTGATCAGTGACGAGTGCTAGAAAACCACTTAAGTTATTGCAACTTCTCCGCTGCATTGTGTCCTTGGAGCAGCATATATATTACCTCGGTAGCATGCATCTGCACTGGAATTTTCTGGATGCAATTACCCTTTGCAACTAATAAAATAAGATGTAATTATAGATGTGCTGTTAGCAGTGCCACTTTACATCTGGGCTGATATGTGTGTGGCTGTCTGGAATTCCAGATCTGAGTGCTCTTTATTACTTCAACCCACACATGTTATTTCTGGAGGTGGCCCTGCTCATGCTGAGAGTATCGGGGACAGCACAGTGTCACTCCTTGAGGGCCTCTCTGTCTCTTTTGGGCTCGTGGCTCATAGCTGTACTTTTAACCTACTCCTGAACAGCTTACACTACACAGCTCAACCCAAGTACAGCTTCTCATTGCTGCCCTTAATCCACAGTCTAGTGCCCTGGCTTTCAATCTCACTATGGTGTCTACTGATTTAAATGAGGAACCTTATAAATATGTTTAGAAAGAAGGACTTAAATTTGAATGTGACAAAAAGCTCTACAGAACTTGTCTGAATTTTCTACAGTGAATGTCTATTATTTTCATTTTAAAAAAAGGAAAAGCATTCAAGAAGTGTTACGTAAACTCAAGAGGAGAATAAGACCTTCCTTTTGAGATCCTCCTTACAGGAAGCCTGGAGCTGTGTGAAGACCTGTATGGGGTCCACGGATGCAGGGAGATCTTAAGGGAAATTACTTCTAGAGACTCAACTTCCTCAACTAGGTCTTACTGGAAAATATGCCTGAAGATGTGTGCAAAGGTATCTTAGTGCAAAAAATTATGAATAAATTGATGTAGCATACTCAGAAAAGAATAAATGGAAGACCTCACATTGGGTTTCTCTTTACTCGAACATCTTAGAAGCTGCAGGCAGTATCCTCTGCACCCAGTGAGCTGACCCTCAGCACCTACAAGGGACTGGTTTCAGAACTCCCCGCATATACCAAAACCCAAGGAAACTCAAGTCCCTTGTATAAAATTGTACAATATTTGCATATAAACTACACATATCTCCCACTTGCTTTAAATCATCTCTCCTTTACTTAGAATACCTAATATAACGTAATGCTATGTAAATAGTTGTTATGCTGCATTGTTTAGGGCATAACAACAAGAAAAATGTCTGGAAGTATTCAGTACAAATGCAAATCTTAGAAAACATTTTCAATTCACAATTGTTTGGATACAAGACGCATAACCCACAGATACGGAGAGCCACCTGGATATGCACATCTGTCAAGGAAATGCATACATCTCATAAATATTCAGAGCTTGCTGCACAAAATCATTTAGCCCATGAAGCTGCTATCACTTTGGAGACCAGCCAAGCAATGTGATTGCATGGCTACCCATCAAATGAACATGGTGACCTCAGAGCTCAGTGCACACAGGTGAAGCAGAAATCAGAAAGTCTACTTCACCTCAAGTCCTCATCAGTGGCTAATGCCTGGAAATGGTTGAGGCATCTAAGGGAAGCCAGACAAGGTGGGAAAGATCTCACTAGAGAAGGTATGGAACTTCTTATCCCAAAAAATTTCCCAAGGACAGAGCCAGGGATGGGGAAGTGGGGACAATGTCTACAAGAATTGTGTGGAAGACTCACTCTAGCAAATGAGCCAGAGGATATGGGGCTATGAGCATGTGGTCAGTGGAGTGACTGGGGGGCAGGATGCTGCAGGGAGGAATGCAGAGATGGGTTCTACACCAAGGAATTCTACAAAAGGACCCAAGTCAAGGGCATGGCATTAGAGAATAGCTGAGTATTAGGAGCTGTTCATCTGTTCACTTAGATCATCAAGGCCTGGACCTCAGAGGGCCTGTGGCAGGGATTCCGGCTCAGCTTCTCACACTCTGTGAGGCCCACAGCATCCAAGCTCAGGTGCCTCAGGCCCCCCCATGCAGTGGGTTATAACAGAGTTATCTCATAGAGTGTGGTGAAAATTAACTGGAATAATTCAGGTAAAATGCTTCTCAGGGTATACCGCACAAGCTGAGAAGCCAATTGTCAAAATAATGTTTCTGGGCCGGGGATTTAGCTCAGTGGTTTCGCCACCTCCTGCACAAGCACAAGGACCTGAGTTCAATCCCCGGTACCAAAAAATAACATCAT